TTTCTCCCAAGTATTCAAGATTACACAAGACAACTACAGAAGCAGCCGAACGTAAAGAACAGATCCTCGAGACTGTGCTCACGTCTGATACATGTCTGTATCATCAGGCTGGTTATAGCCACGTCTGTCCTGTATCACTTCTTTTTAAGGTAACACCTGCCAAATTCCTACTACAGTGCTGAGCAGTTGTGTATTAACTTCCCCCATGCTCCAAACAACTCTAACACATTCTAATCACCATAGTACAGCCTTGGAAGTGGATGCAGAGGAGTGTTGGTCAGTTCTCTACAGCTAGGTAATACTGGAGCTGGTGTGTAGAGTTGGTTCAAACACCAGGAAAACATCTGCTTTGAACTTTTTTTTTTTTTTGAGAGAAGGTGTCCCTACAGCAAGGCTGGTCTAGAACTCATAATCCAGCCTCCTCAGCTTGTGTGTTGGGGTTATGGGTATGTCTCCATATAACTGATGTGGGTGTGCTCTTATATGCTGATTCTTGGCCCCGCTGAGGGCAGTGAATGTTTTTTACTTTGTAATCTCTTTAGTTGTCAAAAAATAAATTTCATGGGTAATATACCTGGGAGGGAGGGAAGGAGGGGGAGAGGGAGACAGAGGGAGGGAGGGGGAGAGAAAGAGAGAGAGAGAGAGAGAGAGAGAGAGACAGACAGACAGAGAGAGAGAGAGAGAATGGGAACCTTTTAGACATTGTCAAAGCTTTATTACTAAGGACTCAGATGCCAATCCTTTATGCAGAGTCACAGTGAGGTGACTGAGCCGGTTTCACCCTCCCATGACCACTTTCAGAGTCTGCTAGAGGGTGGAAATGCCCCCTCCCATGCCGAGCCGGATTCTAGTTCCTCAGTGGCTGTACTTTTTTTTCCTGCTATTTTGGCACACTGTTGAGGAATTTGTGGAGGGTTCACATCTAGATTTCCCTGCAGGATTCTCCAGCCAATCAACTGACCATATAGTAATTAAAATTAGGATGATATTGTGTACGTGCCTCATTGTTATGTGGCATTCAGTGACATTGAATCAAATCATATGCTCATGTACTTGGTGACACAAAATGTATCTTTGCACAAGTCTTCTCTTTGGAAGCTAAATGACTGCTAATATTATTAATATTACTATGATTTTATCATAGTAAAGCCATCCCATGGTAATTTCTAGAAAGTCTCATTCAACAAACCTTTGAATGACATTCTTCATCTTTGGGTCTAGCTCCGTGTGAGGGACTGAGAACACCAAGGGGGAATAAATGCAGTTCTGATTCCAGAAGTCACTCCACTGCATTACTGCCCAAGGCACAGCAGCTAACACTTGAGACGAGGCATTGTGGGTGCTTTCATGAAAGAAGCACTGTTGGGACCAGGAGTGTGGCTCAGTGGATAAAGTACTTGGACAAGCCTGCGGGCCTGAATGTGTCCTTAACATCCACATAAATGCTGAACGAGCAAGGCGGTCACCTTGTATTTCAGCTCCCTGAAGATGGGTGGATCCCTGGCAAGCCGGCTAGCTAGACTAGCTAAATCAGTGAGCTCTAGCTTCCACTGAGGGGCCCTGCCTCAATCAATAAGGTAGAGGGCAATCAAGGAAGACTCCTGATATCAGCCCTGGGCTTCCACACGCACACTCCCACACAAATGTGACCCTTCCCCCCAAACATATACACACACATACACATAAAAACAAAACAAAACAAAACCAGAAGGGGTTGCTATTGTCCCTTCTCCCTGGGAGCTCAGTCAGGTAGGGGAAGGTCAGTCCTTGAGTCAGTGCTTAGGACTCACCATAACTGTGGGCACGGCAGGAATGGAGGATGCACGGAGAAAGGCCACATGCTCATACTGAGGGCCTCTTGTAGACACAAGGAAATGTGAGGGTCTGAGTGAGAGAGACTAGCGGGAGCAGTAGAGAAGAGTGATGGAATTTGAGGCAAGAAGATCTATGAAGGTAAAAGGAGCAGGGACATTTAGGGACAGATTAGAACTCTTGAACATCAATGCGACAGGATACACACCAGGTGCAAGTGGCAGTCTTGGAAGATTTTATAAGGGACTGTGAGTTCCTCATATTTTCCGTTTTGGACAGTTAGACATGAAGGGTCAAGTCATCTGACATCTCTGAGGACAAGATAGCCATATCCCACCACCACAAGATACAGGGGCAAGGTGTCTGGATGAACATTTTGTTTTCATGAAGAATTTGAGTCCTAGAATCCTCAAAGTATGATTATTGAGAACACTAGAACTCTAGGAAACTAGAACTTTGAAATATGGTTGTTTGCATGGTTACATTTATTAATGTGTATTTTTCAAGAGCTTTCTATGCTCTGATGCTGAGTCTTCAGGAGAGCGTTCATCTGAAGTAGGACTGTTATATGCTTGTCTTGCAGACGGAGAAGTCAAGGCAGGAAGGTTAAAAAGCATGTCCCAGGGCAAGAGACAAGGGCAAGAGAGTTAAGATCTGTGTCCCAGGAAGTCAATTAAAATGCTATGTTCTTTATGACTGTAGCCTAGAAGGTCCAAGTTTCTTAGGAAAACAATCCAACATATTTCTCAGAAAATCTACTAGGGGAAGTGATGAGGGTCATAGTGCCCTATAGCATCAGCGGTCCTACATGTAGCTTGTACTACAGTATGAGAACATGAAATAAAGCATGAAAAGAATTATCAGATGATAAACATTTTACTCTTTACATGTGAGAAACAGGAGACACCAGAGTGTGGTTTGACGGGACTTTTGAGCCTTATGTCTGCTTGGGTTTCTGGTTTTTGCAGAAAAGAGGTTTGGGGCCACTTGTTTCATGGCTCGTTTTTTTTTTTTTGTTTGTAAAGTGGAAGAGTTAGTAGTACTCATTGCTTTGGATTTTCTGGGTAAGAAGAACCACTGCCTTAAATCACTTGCATTCTAGTAGGGAGGGAGCTGGGTGCTAAATTAATGGTGTGTACACAGAGCAGGTGAGGCACCCTAGAGTAAAAACAGAGGGCCCACTGCTGTGGGATGGCAGGGACCACTGCCTGGGGACAGAGCACGGAGAATAATATCTTGATAACTTGTGACCCCTGGACAGGTGGCCAGATTTCTGTCATTGCCTATTACTGCTCCAGCGTGTGGGGACCGGTGGTCACTGCCAGTCACTTTCCAGCACTGTGACCAGATAGATGAGGTTGAACTTCAGGATATAAGGTCTATTTGGGCTCACGGGTTTGGAGGCTGTTTGTTTTGGGCTCATGATGAGGCAGCACACCATCATCCTCACAGGAACATGTAGGAAGCAAAGCTGCATCCTTCACAAGCCAAGTGGAAAAGCAGGATCGAGGAAGGGCCAGAGTCATCCAGTCCCCTGTGAAAGCCCATGTCCAAACATCTTCCAGGAGGCCCCGCCTCCCAGGGGTATCACTTTGTATACCAAGTCTTTAACAAATGGGCCCTACATTCATTTTATCACATGCTATAGAAAGTATATCTAAAGAGTTAGATTGCTTTATTATACATTCTAAAGACAACTTATTATACTTTTAATTGCCTAAATGGATAGGTTGTTTCCCCCTCATTTCTTCTACCCACTTATTCTTTTTTGGTGTTAAGAGTTGCATGTCACATTATCAGATTGATTTGAACCTACAGCAAAATTGAGATTAAAAAAAAAAGGCTTCCTGAAAATACATACAGTCACAACCAGGAATCTGATACATTACATTGAGCTGGTATTCGTTTACTTTTTAAATTACATATATGTTTGGGAAAAACAAGAATTTACAGGCACGTTAAGTTATTACGGGAGCTAGGTGTTAACATACAGTTATGTATCTGGCTATGTAAAAACTGCAATTAGACATTCATCATTAGTGGAATTATTCCAACAGAATGTTTCAATTCCTACCCAGTTTGTACTTAGAGGTAATAAAGACCAAATGTTACAAAGTATTTCATATTTTCCGACGTCTTTTTATGAGTTTACTTGTGAAGTTACCTAGCCTCGTGAGACCTTTCTTCATTAAACTGAGGTGCCTATGTTACATCCCTGGTAGCTTTAGGTTAGAGACGCTGTAAGCATGGGAAAGCAGACTTTAAATGGGGATGACATATTGAATTTATGACATTATATTTCAGTTTGCTGTTGCTTATGGTAACAGTAGAAGGCATCTTAAATCAAGGCATCAGTATCAACACACACTATTTTTTTTAAAGGGGAATGGCAGTTAAGTGTGCAAGTTATAAAATGATTCAAAAGTAACTTTCCATCAAGTGCTTTCCTGAGGTTTTGTATGAAGACCCACCACTGGGTGCCTCAGGAAGTCTGTGGGAGAGGACAGGGGCCCCAACAGCTAAACAGACACGGCCACAGAATAGTATAATCAGATGCTTTTCAATTTGCCATGCCTAGTCCTCTGTATCAAGAAATCCCATTCCTGCACTTAATCAAACTGCATCTTCATTGGGTGGACGTCTACTAAATGATTCTTATTTCTGAAAAAAGAAAAGATCCTTATTTCTGGTGTTTCCCTGCATTTTTGGCCAATTTTATTATTTTATGGTTCCATCTTTCAAATACTATTGTCTAAACTTGGACACCTCCCTCCCTCCTCCCTCCCTCACTCCCTTCCTCCCTCTCTCCCTCCTCCTTCCCTCCCTCCCTCCCTCCCTCTTTAAAGTGGGTTTAGAAAACCTATGAAATTCATCCAACACAAAAGGGCAGAGACCGGAGTGAACTATTGACTGGCAAGCTGATTTCAAATGCAGAGATACGTGGGAGACATTTCTAAACAATAAAGTCAAAATACGGGAACTTTCCAAAAAATAATTTTCTGCTAATCACGCAGACCACCTGCCTATCAAATTAGAGCTAGTTTTATATTTCACTTAGCCGAATGACGTGGATTAACTATAGCCAGAAACAAAACGTGAAGGCACTATCAGGTGGCTGCACTGTCTCAGACTGAACTGCTCTACAAAACGACATAATTTCTAAAAGCAGCAATGAAAACATCAGCCAGTGCCTTTATGTAACGGTAAAGTTTATTTTGTTTTCAATAACAATTAGAGGACAAATGTTTAAAATTTGCGGTTTAAAACATGCACATCCACAAAAGGCCAATGACACGGAACAGTGCATAGAAACGGATTTTACTCAGCGGTAGTAACTATTTATAAACACTAGGGTACACAAACCTGAGAGAACCATTCTAAGCACAGATCCGACTCTCCCCACTCATGCAGCGCCACCACCTCTACAGCAGTTTCGGCAGGAATGGCTTTCCCACAGAGCTGCGCATCGGCGGCGTGGCTTTTCAGAGCTGCCTTCCCAGGCTGCCTTCTAACGTACCACACCTGGGGAAGTGAAAACTGAAGCGGGAAGAAGCCAACAACCAGCGGTGCTCACTGCAGTTATGGCTTCTAGTCTATGACTGGGAATAAAAACAATATTCTGTCCACAGCTTTGCCGGAGCGAACTTACCCATGGAAAGCTGCTGCTAAGTCAGAATCAGCACATATGCTATCCAGCTTTCTTCCTACTTAGGGAAGATTCATTTGCTGAGAAGTTTCATGAACTTTCTAAAGAAAAGTTCTTAGAGGCAAGCTAAACAGAAGATCCAATTAAATAAAAAGATTCAGTTGAATTTGTTGTAAAATAACCCATTTAGTAAAAAAAAAAAAAAGCTGTGTGGAGGACCAATTTATTTATCCATTGACTAGTAAATTCTAGTTAGGCCATGATAAAGTTTTATAAGACAGAAATAAATATCGAGATTTTTTTTTTTTTAACAAAAGCCATGCATTTGCCTGGATCACTTTAAATGTTAAGTCATGCAAACCTCAAACCTATCAAAAACAAAACAAACAAACACACACAGAAACAAAAGCCCAAACAGCTGTTGTCCTACAGAAATAAACCAGTAAGAGACATGGAACGCATTTGTTTCCTTTTCTTGAAAATTTAACTTACATTTCACTTTAATAGCTGCTGAGGATTAATTAAAACACAGCGAAGTATAACTGAGTTTCACAAGTGCTTTATTTTCATGTGGGAAACATCAGGCTGTGGTGTGTTTAATAAGAGGCCGTCCAGAAATACTCATCATCAAAAAGCATTTATGAGGCACGGAGTCACATGGGGTCACTGTAAGCCACGGACAGAAAGAATTCCACATACGTGGTCACCACAGTGTGCATGAGAGAGACGTTTTCTTGATGAATTTTGTAGTTTACTTATTAGACTAAAGATTCCTTCCATGAAACAGTTTTAAGACCCAGAGCCATCAAAAACCCCACCGCAAGATGAGCAGGTGGCGTTGCAGTAGCTCCACGCTGTTCTGAGAGGGCGTCCCTCTCCATCGCTCCCTGGCTAGCATCCCTTTTCTGAAAGGACGTTTGTCAATGACAGCGCACGAGCGTGGCACTAAGTGTAACAAAAATTAACCTGTGAGTATCATCCCAGTTCTCTGGGATACTGAACTGAAGAATCAGAATATACAATTAAATGTGAGGATGACATGCTGATCGCTTCTAGGATTCTTTCTGCCTGTTGGGAAGGAAAAGCCTGGCTGATTCTCTTCGATGACAACACAATGCATGCCTCCCTTAGCCGGCAGTATCCCTTCATCTGCCTGGGGGAGAAAGCTTTCCGGCAAGTTCTCTTTGTGGCTGAAGCCATCTCACGCAGAGGGAGCGCTGAGGGGCCTGCCAGCCAAGAGCACACTTACCAGGTTCAAATTCCCCATGTTCCTGAGAAGACTGCTTTCCTGCTACTACCTTCTACAGTGTAGCATCTTTCAGGGTGCGAGGCACCAATGTGTTTCTACATGTATATCTAGCACATAGAGAAAGTCCATGCTATATATTCCTGGGTTTATTCCAGCAGGAATGAAGAAACTCCCAGCTCTTCGGTGCTAAAGTAATGGGGCTTTCCTGCTATAAATAGTCTTTTCTGGATTGTAAACATTACAAAGCAGTCATGTCAGCTTTTACTAAAGTCCCTAAAGGGGACTTTTGAAGGTGGAGTTTCATATTGTTTCTTTGAGAAAACAGGTTTAAAGTCACTTTGACTGCAGTCTTTTAAATCCCAGTAAAACCATGAACTTTTCTCCCGCCTAACAATAGTTAGAAACTCCAGAGTGTCAAGTCTCTATAACCTCACTGCATCAGCGACTCTCTGTTTCAAGTTTTACCCAAGCGGTCGCTCCCCTGCTCTCCCCAGCCTAAGGAACAGGGAGACTGACTCAATGGCCATTGTTTAAACACAGGATGTGGGGAGGAAATGGAATACAGAGTTTCATTTCAGGAAATGCTGTATACTGATTAACCGTGAGGAATCTCACGTGGAGGAGTCCCATCGAAATAATTCGTGATACCAGATAAAAAGAAGACTTTCGATTTCCATGCGGGTGTCAGACCACTGCATTCTCACCCACAATGTGCTGAGGGGAGGAATCTGGAGACAGATACCTCTAATGGCGAGGGCAAAGGGAAGCCATCCCTGGGTGACCACTCAAGTCTGTGGTGTGACCTCAACTGTCACCACCAGGAGGCTAAGGAAAACCCACTCGCCAGATTTAGTTGGTAGAGGGTTAAAGCCTTCAGCTTCACAAGGTGAAAGATCACCTCAGAGATTCTATGTGTGCAGTTCTGCAAGGTGCTTTGATTCACAGGTTGCTTAATCTCAGCTCCAACAGGATGGGTTGAACATGTGATATGTCCACTCCACTCCCTTTAGAATTATGTGAGTGCTTAGAACCTCTCATTTGTAGGGGATGCGGAGACACACTGGTAACGAGCTACACACTTAGAGGGGGAAGAGACACAGCCTGATTTTAAATCCAGACTGAGAAAAAGGGGGAAAATAAGGTAAATGGGGGGGGGGGGTGCGGGTAATTCGGAGAATCCCTCTCTTCAAAGTCAGTCCTTGCACACGTTTCAAAGTCTCTATTTTGCTGGTAACCCACTTAAAGGCAAACAGGCTTTGGAATAAAAGGCAGAAGAGTTTGTTTCGATCTCTGAAGTGTATCTGAAAACTAGAACTCCCTTTATCTTTGAAGATGAAAAAAATACTGTAAAAACTGTAGAAAACTGGGTGTGGTTTTTAAGCAGCCCCTTCACCTTTTATTGTTGGTAGCAAAATAGGCATTTGTCAGGAGATTTCATGGAAATGCCGAGACAAATGAGCATGGACATCTATTTGAAAGTGCACCAGCAAGCCCTGTTCACGGTGAGAAGTAGTCACTGACGGGACGATTTCCTGGAACAGAATAGGTGTTTCCTTAACACAAGGCAAACGCGTGACTTATCTGTCCATAAGCGGTGCGTGACTCACTTTGGGAATGGCTGGCCGAGCGAACTGTGAAATAATTTTCAGGCTTAAGCCTATGGGTAGTTACCATCACACCAACTCTGTTACACATCTCATCTCCAGTGGGAACACACGGTGAGGACAAACAGAACACAGGACGAAAGCCGAAACCTACGCACATGACAAAAAAGCCCATGCATCATCAGACGGATTATCCCAGCCGTTGAAACAGAAGCTTGGGAAATCCCACAGAAATACATAAGCATAATTTTCTCAGGAGGGGAAAAAAAACTGAAGACGAAGTGACATCATTCAACACACAGCGGAAGCCAGATTTTTAGCAACATTTAAAGGAGTCTAAAGTTCATCAGAAATGACAGACAATACAGATTAAAAAAAAATCAGTGTTGTAACAAGGGTCACACGGACATAGGTCCCTCCAACTGGAACAAATAAAGAGACAATTGACAGAGAAGCAGTTGTAAGGCCAAAGGTGCAACATCATAGATTTTAGTAGCAAACGCCTGGAAATATTCAATTTTTGCAAGTCGCGCTCACATTTGAAAAGTCAAGCATGCAGATTGTACATGCTGCGAGGAAACTTCCTTTTAGATTTCTGGGCAGTTGACTACTAAGTGGAAACACACACACTGAACGTCTTTGGCAAACACTTAGCAAGACACTTTTTTGACACAAACACTTATTAATGCCTGGTTCAGAAGTGTTCAGAAGAGCGAATCAAGAATGCTGGTTTGTTTCAGCACAGCCTGAAATCGAAGACCTTCCCTCAGCACTGGTTCAGAGTTGTTTTTTAAAAGGTTGATTGGCTGAACCAATGAAGTGATAGTTACAGCCCCAGAGGGACAGCTTGTGAACACTGACCTGTCCCCATTTTTGAGAAAGCCCTCCGGCAAAGACACAAGGTCATTTCCAGTACCGGTTTAGAAAGCCTTAGCAGGGACTTGAGGACGTCTGAGGGCGATGGTGCTAGAGTCACATAGTATTTATGTCCGTGAAGTCGGGCTGTGAGGTGAGCTCAGATCCACCGTTCCTCCCCGTGGAGCAGACAGCGATTGACCAGCAGGTTGTGGTGATGACCTTAGTTGTGACAGCTCTCCTCAGAGACACAGCAGAGCCTGTTGCTCGGGCCTCCTCATCACCACTCATCGGGCCTCTGTTTCGTGGTATCGTAGGCTCTAATCACTTCCGACTGGGAGACGATGCCATTTTCATCTTGAGAGAAAGCGTAGCCATCTGTAAGTAACAAAAGAACAGACATCGCTTGCTTAATGAACTCACTGGGAATTACCGTTCATTCTGAGGGCTGATGGTCGGCCATGGCGAAATGACACATATTTCCCACCTTCAGAAGCAAGGGGCACTCATTTTTGACATTTGGAAAAGACAAAAAGATCAGCAACCAAAAAGGGAGAGTTGGGAGAACCAGAGATTGCCAGTGTGGTGCTTAAATTCTGTTTCCCACTCAGCTAGGGAGAGGCTGTCCAATCTCCCCCAGCCCTCTGACCCACACAGCAAGGCTACTCCCTTCATTTTTGCTTCTCCGTGACTGGAAGGGCTCAGAGTCCAATCATGGCATTGGATACATTTTCAGATAGGTGCCGGGTGAGAGAAGGTTAGAGACAGTGGTATACATAGGTGAACAGAAGAACGTATTAATTAGCTTGACTAAATTATTCTACCATAATTGAATACACAGATGAAAACGCTACCCTAGACTCTCTAAATAGATATATGATCATTTCTTACTTAATGGCACACTCTGGAGGTGAAGGGACGAACACACGGAATTGCCAGGGGTGGAGGAGAGGCCTGCTTCCTTTAGGTAACATTCTCTTTGGTTCCCTCCGTGATGTTTACATGCTCTGAGGGGGTGTGGGAAAAGGAGATAATCCCAAGGGAAATCCCTTCTTTGGAAAAGGCCCTGACTTCTAAAGATCAAGAGCACTATACATGAACATGAAGAAAAATGAATTACATGTGGAAACACAAAATAAAAGAAATATCACCGACAACAGTGAATTTACTATAGGGCTGTATATATCATGTTCTCTTTCAGGTCCTTGAAATGTTAAGAGGGTGAGATACCCAATAACTTCTTCCAACTCTAAATATGCATAAATATTTTTTGAAGGGGAAAATATATGCTTCCTTGCATTGCCTGAAAGCTGAAAGGACTCTTGTGAAGTTTTTCAAGTAGAAAAGATAACAACGTAGAGGCAGCTTTTCAGAGTGAAGATTTATCCCACCGTTTCTTTTCGAGATTTAAGGCTGCAAGGAGCGTGGAGAGAGCATTTGAAAATCCGCTATTGACCGGGAGATGGTGTCGCCCACGGGTTTGTTAACCAACTGTTTGTTTTTATATACCACGTTGCGAAATTTTAAACCATTAATTCTAAGTGGTTCAATATGGTGGAAACATAAGACATCGCTCCACAGAGCACAGAGAATTTAAACAAAACTCTGATACTCACGGAGCAGGTTCTGTTGTAGGGACTCAGAGCGGTACAGATTGACGTGATTCTTCTTAAAGACATTCTTGAGGAGCTGGGCCCTCTCCGTGAGGCTGTGGAGCAGGCACAGGATGTGTGAAACACATTGTCAACTCAGGGAGCCGGACTCTCTGCAGGACTGCCAGCGGAGCCAGACTGAACAAAAGCCTGAGAGCCGGCAGTCAGATCTGACTCTTTCTTATTCTGTTTTCCCAGATAGCAAATGAGAGCATGAGGAACTCCCTGCATAGCCAGGGAGGTGTTTTATCTTTAATGATAATCTAGAAAAACTAAGATATCTAAATCAAATGAAATACCGACTCCATTCAACATAAGTAGCAAAACATTACCAAATCATCTAAAACCTTGATTGACTCAGTATCCTCAGGACAGGACTTTTAGGAGTTTAAATACCGCTATCTTACCCACACTGTATCTTGCTTACACTTTGACATACTCGGATGGAAAATGATAGTTTTAGTTATACTAAAAAATGAAAACAATACAAAGGGCAAATAGTATCCTTTTTAATTAGAAAAATTTTATTACCACTCTAATCTGGTTTAAGTACGCCAATTTCGTTTTAAAATACAAATTGTTTTTAAAAATAATTATTCTAGATGAAGCAACGAGGAAACAAAAACCCATGCATGCTTAGCCTGACCTCCACAGAGAGGTTTCCAGAATCAATCATGAAACTTGTGTGACTCCCACTGTGAGAACTCACACATCTTCCCCTCTCCTGCGAGCAGCGGAGTTCCTCACGCAACAGGAATTCAAACATTTGTTGGGTGGAGGAATCTGAGCAATTTGGAGACAGGCTCACACACCTCCTCCGTCTTACTGATTAGGCTGTTTCTCTAGTGTCTGATTTATTCAATGTTCTTTGACAGCAAAGAACAGTCACCACGGGAGGAAAGAAGGTGTCTTGGTGGAAGGGAATAGCCACGCAAGTGTGTACTAACAACTGGAAGGATCTCGGCAAAAAAAAAAAAAAAAAAAAAAAAAAGAAAAAAAAGAAAGAAAAGAAAAAAATTCTCTTGTCTTTTTCCTTACTATGCTTTAGTTAAACTGCTGTAAATTATGATAGTTCTGTGTTTTGCCATTTTTTTTGAAAGCCCCGAATGGAATTATCTCTATCATATACACAACACACAAAAAAGATCCTTCTCATTGTATAAATGAATTACATAGATATTTAGGCAAAAAATCGAAGAAGGAAAATATTTAGAAATGTTGATGTTTGCATTAATCTCTCACATAGCTTTTGAAGCCTAGGGACATTAACTCGGGCGTATGGACATATTTTATCGTTGCTGGGAATTAGCTGCATTAAAAGAAGAAAACATATTCATGGAAAGCTTGACCGGCAGTGTGGTAGTTGTAAAGCTTGTTTGTGCCACACACAAAGGAGGAAGGCTCATTTCTGTGAAGTCACTTTCCCTGCCCTCCTCCTCTTTAAAGGGTCTGACACCACAGACCTGAGAGCCAAGGCCACTAGAATGGGTTCCTCCTTTGGGGAAGTTGAGAGTGGGCGCCTGGGAAATCCGATTCTGCCAGCAGAGTGCTATGGTCAGGGTGCATGGCAGTCTCTGTTGTTTGAAGCTAAAATGATTCTAGAAGGCTGGAGGAGGGCAGAGGAGTTTTCGGGCAGCTTCTTCCCCAAATCATTTTTTTTTTTTTTTTTTTTTAGGTTTCAGGCTGGCCTTCCAAAATGCATCATACTTTCCTATCACAACACCAAAATCTGAAGAAGTCTAGGGATGGACTTTATGTTCTATACTCCAGTAACTGAAATACAAAGGATGATGCTTTTTCCCGATCTACTTATTTGTGTTTTGAGCACCGAGGCATTCCTGGGAACACAGCACATCCATCAGGGAAGAGCATAGACTCCGGAGTCCGTCTTTGACTTTCTGAGTTGGCTACTTGTTAACTGGCTCGCTGTAGACAAACCTTCCTGGGTATCTCACTTATAATGGAGGACAATACAGAACTCTCTGGCAGACAGGCAGGGTCTAGCCGCTTGACAGCGTAGTGATTGACACTTAGGAAGCACTCAACAAATACTGGCCACTCCCACTCCTGTCCCCCAGATGTCAGGGATTATTAGAAAAAGTACTTTGTAAAGCTCACTTTTGATTCCTTGGTTTGTACTTAACCTTGGCTCGGTGGGAGAGAGCCGCCACTATACATGAGTTTTAAGTCCTCATGCCCCCATCCTACCTCACTGCTAAGAAAACAAATACGTTTTTGTTGCTCTGTTCTTTCCCTGGTGACTCTGTTTTCTGCCTCCTCCAGAATATAAATGCCATCTACAGGAGGGTGCTTTGCAAATTAGAAGTGATGGTGAGTTGGATTTCGCTGGTCTTATTCTACCCTTGGGAAACAATTTATTCTTTCAAAATTGATGCGGTTTTATGTCATCCATGTTTATGGGGGACTAAGATTACCATCAGGTCCCATTATAAAATATGTGGATAACATGTTAACATAAATAAGTATACTAAAGGTTTAGTTTTTTGGTTGAATAGCTTAACTCAGCAGAGAGAGAGAGAATGAAGGATCAAAATATAGCCTTACTAAAACTACATCTATTACAACTTTTAGGTAGTAGTTCTCTTAATCTTGTAGGTCTTTTATTTACATACCAAGATATGCAAATTCCAAGTTTGTTTAATGCAATCACACAGTAACTACTATTTAAACACTGTTGCTTTATATTTCCAACTCATTACAATATTGTAACTTAGGTATTTAGTGGAGGTGAAAGAAAATATACTGAGTTTAAATATAGTATTTCTTTTAGAAACACTAAAATATGTTATTGGCTAAAACTCATATACAGTCAAGGAATGTGTTATTTTAAAAGAATCCTGGCTACCTTTGAAGGGTGGTAAAGTGGCAAGAGTTGGTCTGGCATGCTGGTAATTGTTTTTTTAATCATCTTGATATAAACCTAGACATATCCAAGAGGAGCAAATCTCAGTTGAAGAACTACTTCCAGTGAACTGGCCTGTGGGCAAGTCTGTGGGGATATTTTCTTGATTGCTAATTAATGTGGGAGGGCTCAGCCCACTGTGGGTTATAGGCCTGAGCTAGTGGGCCTGGCCTATGTAGGAAAAACAGCTGAAACAAGTCAGAGAAAGCCAATCAGTAAGTAGCATTCCTCCAAGGTCTTTGTGCGCAGGTCCAGCCCTGGCTTCCCTATGTGGTAGATGGTAACCTGTAACCTGAAATAAACACGTTCTGCTACAAGCTGCTTTGGGGCAGTGTTTTTATCACACAGCTGGCCAACTATTTTGATTGGCTCGCTGTAGCAAATGTCCAGGAAGTTAACAAGCATTTAATCACGAAAGGGTTAATGGGCAGCAGTGTTGCTAGGCGAATGAACCACAAATTAGCATCCCTGTCTAGGAGGGGGGATCTCCTCCATCTCTCTCACCCTGGTGATGAGTAGGCTGAAGAAAAGCTTCTTCTTTAAAAAACAATTTTTAGGCTTTATTAGAAAAAAAATTAGCGTGTGCTAGTGTGCATGCGTGTTGTGTTGTACTCTTGGTGAACGCCATTTGTTAGTGTAGTTGTGTACATGTGTGCATGAACGCAGCGGGGACTGATGGTGAGTCTTTTTTTTTTGGACCATCCTCTACCTTTACTTCCTGACCCAGGATCTGTCCGTGAGCCAGAAGCTCATTGCTGGGCAAGTGTCTGACTCCACGGGTGAGCTTCGGGGATCTGCCGGTCTCTTGCCCTCACAGTGCTCTGGAGACAGGCATGCTGGACCATTCTGGGTTTTTATGCGGGTTCTAGAGTTCTGAATTCAGGCCCTCAAGATTCCACAGCAGGTACCATCCTGACAAGCCATCTCCCTAGCCCCAGAGCGGCTTTTCTACATCCTTCTTTACTTTCACAGAGTATGGGCTGTCATACTGACATCAAGGCTGGAGTGAAAACCGGGACACAGAATTTCTTTGGTTAGTTCTCAGACAATACTGAAACCGCTCTCCATTAAGAAAAGAATACTGAGAACTTGGGGGCGATCCCTACCATGGTCCTCCATGACATGTCCTAATTTCTCCTGTATGCTGAGACCAATGGACAAACACTGGCGATGTACAAACTGGTGACGTCTGATAGGAAGATCCTGAGCCGACTTGTTAAGGGTCGGATCAGCTGACTAATGATCACAGGTGAATATCAAACTGTGAGCCTCATTATTTACCTGCACATAATATACATGGCTTCACATATACTGCAGTGACATCCAAGAGTCTCTGTCCCCAGTGAGCTACAGTCTCTGTAATCCCTATCACACCCCTTTTTTGGGTGTGTGCCTAGTCAGGCACCTGTGAAGGGCAAGAGATCATTGGTTGTCTGGCTATTGTCACTCTCCCCCTTCTTCTGTACAGACAGGGTCTCTCACTGAATTTGGAAATAGGCTGACTGACTCCGATAACCCCCACAAGCTTCGGCCTCCACCCCTCCAAAGTGCTGGGGTTACAGGCATGGATGACCACACCCAGCTTTTTATGTGGTGCTGGAGACTTGAACTCAAGTCCTAAGGCTTGCGTAGGGAACTCTCTTCTCCGCTAAGCCATCTCCCAGCGCTTGCCTCTGGTGTCTGAATTCACATTTTCTTGCTATGGCGATTTGATAAATGTTAAGATGTTATGTGCAAATGCTTAGTTTAGTACGACAGCGTTCTTGTCCTGTGGTGGTCCTCGCTACAGCTCCTTCTTCACTGCCCCTCCATCAGCAGCTTCTCAGCAGGAAGCCACCACTCTCTCCCTAATCACCAGCTGAGGCTCCCCGCCCCCGAATTTATGATCAGCTGCTTCAGCCCCCTAAATGCTGTGATTATAGGCCCATATCATCCCGTTCCTATTTCATTCAATCCTCACAACCTCTTTAAAGCAGGCACGTGAGCCCCATTTTATTGATGAAAAAATTGAGCATTAAGAAACTCATCTAAGCCAGCTCACTGCTTAGCAACAGCAGACCTGGCTTGAATCCATACTCCAGGATTCCAGAACCTGTCTGCGACACCACCAGCACCAAGTTAAATGATAAATGCAAGTGTCACAGCTTATTCCACTAGGAAGAGAAAAATGTAAAACTTCCCTTATAAAAGAGCACAGCCTTTTACCTTTTTCCAAGGACGACTGCCCCGGGGTCTTGAGATTTCGCCTCGAGCTCCTGAACTTCATCCACTAATGTTTTGAAAGCCGTCCTCTTGATGCTGCAGGGGGAAAGATTTGCATGGCAATTCTCCTGCGAGGACTTCACAGATGTGGACCTGTGGCTGACGGCGAGCCCTTGGCAAGCACGCAGTAACCAGGGGTAAGCAGAACTTCAACAAACCAAAAAAGCTAGGGCACTTTTGTTTAGTAATATAGGGGCAGGAGTCATAGCAATAATTGAGATCCACAATACTAAAATAGTTACTGAATAAATATATCATTAACTTTAGTAACTATGTTTTAGGGTAGGGCAGCATTTTAAAACATAGCAATTATGAAAAATAAAGTTTCTGTTCCCTTCATAGTTTATATCTATTTAGAATCAGAAAAGCAAGAAATTTCTTTTTATAGCTTCCCAGAAACATGCTTAGAGCTAAAATTTCTTTTTATTTTCTATTTTGAGGTCTTGGGGAGGGGGTTTCTAAAAGCACGTTCCCTGATACAATCTTCTCCAGCCCAACAACGCGCACGTGGAAGTAACCACTTTATTTCTCATTTGCCCTTTCCAGCTCATTCAGTTTTCTTATCGAATCACGTCTTTCTTCTTTAAAAATAAATAACCGTCCCTGGCCCCTGTTTTGCAGATTTTGCATGTTTGAGAACGACAGAAACGTCAGGGGTGCCGTACATGTGCAGTTCTGTGTCTACAGCCATATATCAGCACTCACACTTTGCAGAGCACATCCAGCAGCAAGGACGCCACAGGGATGGAGAGCAAGCCCATCCAGAAGACTCCAGAGCTGAAGAGCATGGCCGCCTGTGGAGGACATCACCAACAGCTGACACTTCGTACAGTCAAGAGGTGTACCGCCCACACTTAGTACACACTTCCGTACAGTCAAGAGGTGTACCACCCACACTTAGTGTCTCCAGATAATGTAAGTAAGATAACTTAAAGATCATTTTATAATGGGAAAGACAATACTTCAAGCTCAAACGTAAGGTATTTGGAATTAAAAGCCATATCTATCACGCATTTACACCCCAGCTTTTCCTCTCAAGTAGTTGATCACACGTCAAATCTTTTCACACATACACACACACACACACACACACACACACACACACACACACACACAATTTTGTAAAATTATTGTGCTCAATGACATAAAATGTAAGTTTTGACCTTTTGTAACGGGGCATCATTATCAATCTTTCTGAGAAAATAAAATATATTCAAGACTTAAATGAAATAATATGAAATATAAAATAATTCATATCTAGAAACAAGATCCAATAATTCTGGCACATGAAAATGAACTTTACACTTATCATACTGCAGGACATTGCAATCACCCAGACACATTATGACTATGGTACAATCAAATTAAGATATCTATGAAAGTAACAACTTGGTTATTTTGTGCAACTGAATAGACGTAACCTTCATTTTGTTCAATGATTCACATAAATTTTAATCGGTATACATCTATGATTGTTAAAGTCAAACCAAATACCTAGAAACTCAAATAAAGGTATACTAAGATTAACTTTAAATTATTCCATTGTATTAAATCTCAAATTGAGTATCAGGGTCTTTCAGACTATAAACAAATCAGTTCTGTGATTTTAAAAAATAAATTCACAGAGTTAGGTCACAAAGAGTGTGAAAAGACGAGTTTTGTACGATAACAGATACATTTTGGTTTCAGTTTGAGGTGATTTGTTCTCAAGGTCAAGCCTGCAGTACCTGCTTAGTCCGTAAATATACTGTGCTAATTCCAGCACCCAGTGGTCAGCTAGCCCCTGCACACTTACATCCTGCAGCAAATCAAACAGAAAGGGTTCTTTCTTCAAAAACCTGAATTCAGGAATTGTTTCAGGAATTAAAAAGGATCTAGAGTTTAATTCTGGGGTAGACTCACAATCACGCATAGCTCTAGTCAATCCCTTCTCATCATATAGTAAGATCGATTTTAAAGCATGTACGGACCCGGTATTTGTTCTGACTCTCAAAGGGGCACCGGAAAGGACCCACAGGCTTTCCCTGTATGAACACACAGGCTATTGACATAGGCTGCCACTCAAGCATACTGAATTTAATCTTTTTTTCTTTTTGGCAATATGGGTCTGGACATCTCCACACACTTAAAATAAAAACATGCCATCATAAAAGAAAAAAATCTCAGAAAATAGAATTTGCCACACGGGTTCTGAGGAACAGCACCCATATTCCAGACATCAATCAGTGAAAAATGTCCCCATAAAAGTCACTTGATTTAATAAGCAAAACATGATCTGGGACATGTTGGCTGACATCCTCAATAGTGAAAACCAACAGTAACTGTGTAAGAGGAAATGTCCATCAACTCACTGGCCTTTGTTGCCATTCAGGGCCGCTTTCTAGCAAGGTAACAGCTGTTAGAAAACAAGACAACAGAACCAACAAAACAAAAAATGCTTGCGTATCTTCTGCTTTCTGGGGAAAGGGGTAAGGTGACTGCTACGTCACATCACGGAAAACATGTCTCCCTGGCTTACTTTTAAAGTATTTTAACGTTGAGGGCAAGAGAAGAAAGACTCCCTCTTGCCTTTGGCAAACCTTGTATTAACCTCCAGCTAAACGTCTCTCTGGACAAGAAAAACTCCGGGTCCTGCAGGCTGCTAATTCTGTCCATTGTCATGCTAATGACCAAGGGGGGCAACTTCAGCCCACTATTCAGCTACCAGTCTTTGCCTTTACAAATGAACAACATGAATTGAGGGGAAAAACTTTTTCTGAGTCATATCTGAAAGCCTGTCAGATTTTTTTTTTCTTTTGCAGCGTTAATCCAAACCTAAGAGATTTAAAGCCGACGTTCCCGTTTAAGACAGAGAGTCTCTTTGTATTTTTTTTTTTTTTTTTGGATGAAGAGGAGGTAAAAAAAATGAAATCCCACAGAGGTATTTCCTTCCTTTCTGTACAAGAAAGCTCCCCTCCCTCGGTGGAAGCCAGTTTGTCTCTAACTTTTCACATCTCTCCCTTCTCAGGCAGGTCAGCTGGGAAAAGGCAAGCCCTGTGCAGACAATGGTGCTTATGGGGACGTCTGTTAGGGGTTGTTGGTCTGGGGCTCCCTCTGAGAGCAGTTTGCAAATGGTCCTGAACGTGGGAGATTGGGGGGCAGTGCCAAGTGTCCCTTGTCCTCTTCCAGGTCCTGTGAAACCCAATAGAATCTGCCACAAAAGCGGCTCCCAGAGGGGCTTGTGGGGGGGGGGTGTCTGTGCACATAGGGCTGTGTGGTTGGTACACTGCAGGCTTGCCTGTGCTCGGCCTGGGGAAACAAGTGACTGCTTGTCTCTGCCGAGGTCACCGGCTCCAGATGGGACCACTAGGGCTTCAAAATAAAGCAGGCCTACCTCTAATGGAAAACACAATCCGGCAGGGGAAGTGCTCTGAAAGTTTCATGTAAATGTAGAAGAATATTTGAGAGGACAACAAGCGCATTTCGGGGTACAGGACCAGGACGAGTTAACCGCTTATCTCTGACCCACAGTGGGGACACCAACAGAAGTTCTTCACAGTCAACCTGACAAAATGGAAAACTCACATTTGGTGCCTTTAGCTGCGCAGTCCTTGACTGTTTCTGAATTGGCCACTAGAAGGGTTGGTCAGGCATGCTTACCCTTCCAGAGTTTTTAAAACAAAAGCACCTTTGGGAGCCCTTGGGCCCCCACCAGAGCAGGTCTGGTGTTCTGCAGCCTTTGGCTTGGTCTGCCAGTGCCCACGGCAGCCACCAAGACTCCAGGGGGAGTGACGTTTTGGTCTGATTCCTCAGCTATCCACATGGCTGCATTCATTATTAGTGATACGTTCTCCTATTTTTATCTTAACTTTTGGAATTCTTTAGAGGACTCTCATCTCCTCTTCTTTCTAGTGGTCTCTCCCATGAACTTTAAGGAAGGGAGTTTTTTTTTTTTTTTAAATCAAATTCAGTGAAAAGTAATCTATAAATTTTATGGTTTTGGTCAATACATACTTACATAATACATACAAACAAATGGTTGTCTTATCCAATATTTCCAATGCCAAAATATAGTATGAGTCAACATAAATTTATCATTAATAAATCTCAGTCTTAAAGATTTGCTAACAGGAGGGGGCTTGGTTAAGTACATCATTCACATAAATTTGCTTTTCTACAGGAAATAGAGAATATATATATAC